TATATCCTTACCTTTATTATTAGCGATAATCGGAGGGATCGCTATACTATTAATTATCGTACCTCTATCCCCGTCCCTATCTCTAGCTCTATCTTCTTTTATTATAGGCCTAGATATAGGTCTAGCTCCTACTATAAGCCTAGCTACTCCTCCTCTTATAGATCTAGCTCCTCCTATAGGTCTAGCTCCTCCTCCTATTCTTATTTATAGTCCGTTAGTAGTTAAACTCGCTATTATATATTACCTAAGGGACTACTTACTAGCTAGACCGATAGTCTTAAAGGCTACTAGTACTTCTAGGTTATCTATTTTATAATTAAATAGTATAGATTCCTTATTAGAGGGCGATCCTAATTTATTCTTAATAAAGGTATTCCCTAATCTTAGTCCTTTTATTATATACTTAGTATATATAGAGAAATCTAACTATAGGAGACGTAATCTCTTTTATATCTTCCCCGGCTAGATTTACTAAGCTATATAGCCCTTTATACGAGTAGTCTCTATCCTTTAACTAATTCTAGGCGTATACTCTACCCTCTAATTATTAAAAAAACCTATCGGGGACTATAAGTACCTCGCTATATTCTACTTTCTATTATAAAAGCCCCTTTATTAAGACTTCTACGTATATATAGATCTAATTTAGGATATATAGCCGATCTTTACTAGCCGTCTAATTATAAAACCTAGGAAACCCTATATAAGCTCTATACCCGACCCTCTAAAAAGGATATACTAATCGATAGTCGACTAGGGCTAATTATAATTAATAATAGCTACTAAGAATAAAGGATAGTTTATCCGGGCCCTATTTCCCCTTTCTATATCTTTTAATTATAAACAAACTCTAATTCTATATATCCCGGCCTAGATCTAATACGCTATAATCGGCGCCCCTCTTATATAGCCCTAATACTACTTACCCGGCCCTATCCGACGTCTATATAGTCTATAGTCCCTAGTATCTATTATTTCGAAAACCGGCCCGCTAATTACGGTCTAGCTATACCCCTATAGTCCTAATACCGCTATCGGCTATCTTCTACAAAATCCGGTATACAAAAACTACGCTGTAAGCCCCGAAAAAGAGCCGGCTATAGGCTAGAAAGGTAGCCTATAGGCTATCTTAGCTCGGATCCGCCCCGGATTTGCTTCTACTAAGCTTAGCAAAATATCACCTATATGCGTTTCTACCCCTAGTAGGCGCTTACGGGTAGCTGGTAATTTAGATTATAAAGATATTATATTTTTTTCGGATAAAACCGTAAATAACTTACTTTTTAGACTAGGCTTATATAATCGATATAGTATATTTTATAGCCCTAGTTCCGCTCTATATTATAGTACTTTTTAGTATTTTATTAAATTTAATATATAGGGAGTAATATTAATAATTAATAAAATATATAATTATATTAAAGTAGCCGCTATTTATAATACGTACCGCGGTAAATATAAAATACCGTAATTAATATTTACTACTAGGCTGCTAAGATAAGACCGATACGGGTCCGTATTAGGGTCTATATTAAAAATTCCCGGTCGTACCCTAATAAAAAAAAAGTCGAGATTTCAACTTAACTTTTAACACCCTTACTATACTCCGATCGGTCCTAAATTTAGCATACGGCCTAGTATTATATCAGAATAGAAGTATATAAATTTTCAGACCCATCGGAGCACGGGAGTTCAGGTATTTCTGAACCCCAAATACCTGAACTTGCCCCACTCCCGAGCAGCCAACCACAGCCCTCTAAATCCACATACCTGCCAGGTATGTGGTTTGGAATAGAGTTAGTATATAGTCTATAGAGTTAAATTATAAGATATAAGATAAAGAACTTTTAATAATTATTTATATATTATAGGAATAGCGATCTAAACTTAAAGATTTAGTATAAAAGGATTATTTTAAGATCTTAATAGATTATTAGTCTCTTAAATACTTTATAATAATAAGATAGATAAACTAATAATAAGCGAGATAAAATAAGTTCTTATCTTAGTTCTATTTTATAATTAAATATTATTTTAGAAAGAAGAATATTATAGTTAATATCTTATCGCGAAAAGACTTATCCTATATTAATAATAGCTAATAAATAATATTTTTATTAAAAAATTATTTAAAAAAAGATATTTATTTAGTCGGTTTAAATCTAATTAATATAAAGTCTATAATAAATATTACTAAGCGAGTTAAATAAATTAATTAAGAAAGTAATAAACTAGAGGATTTCTAATAAATTACTAGAGAAGATAATAATTAAAAATAGATAATCGAAGAAGATTTACTCTTATTTAAAAAATAATTTAAGATCCTAGATAAAAGGGATTTATATATAAGACTTTTTAATAATATATATTAATAACTATTAATTATATACTTTAGAATTAAGAAACTAAAGAAGCTTATCTTATTAAGATATTATTAGCTAGGATAGGCTAATAATATAAAATAATATATAGAAAACTACTTAATTTATAAATAAATAAAGACCTAGCGAGATTATATATCTAGATTATTATATTCTTTACCTATTCCTAAAAGACTTTAATAATATATTTCGATAGATTTCTATTTATTCTTAAAGGATTATTATAATTATAATACTATTTTTATAGTTATTAATCGATTAAGTAAGAAATTAATTTCTATTTCTTATTATAAGGATATTAATACTAAGTAGATAGCTTAATTATTTATTAATAATATAATTCGAATTATAGGTATTCTAAAGACTATTATATCGGACTAAAAAGGATAGTTTATTTCGGAATTCTAGATTAAATTCTATCGGATATTTAGAATTAAAAGAAAGTTATTAATTATCTATTATCTTTAGACCGATAGATAGAGTAAGATCGCTAATTAGTATATAGCCTAAAGATTATAATTATATATTAAATAGAATTAGGATAACTAATTAGAGATTCTACTAATAGTAGATTTTATAATATTAATTCTTTTATAAGATATTATAAAATAGTTACTATTCTTTATTAAAAAGGGTTACGAACTAATTATATTTTTTAATTAGAAAGATCGAAATAATCTAATAAATAATAAATAAGATATAATTAATATATTATTATAACTTTAAGATATCTAGATAAAGATAAGAGATTAGATTATAAAGTTCTAGTAGTAGATAATTTAGTAAGTAAATAAGTATTAAAAAAAAGAGGATTTCGATATTAGTAATTAGATTTTTATTATAATAAAGAATTAGTAGCTTAATTACCTAAATCGGAAGCTTTTTTATTTTACTAATAGATCTTATAAAATTATTAAGAAGATTAGAAACGCTTATAAGCTCGATCTTTTAGAATCTATTAGAGTTTATCTAGTATTTAATCTTAATAAGCTTCGAAAAGCTTTATTATTAGAATTATTATATAGATAGTATCTAGATCCGCCGCTACTAGTTAGGATCTCTAAGGAAAACAAATAGGAGATAAATAAGATTATTAATTTATATCTTTACTACTAGAAGTTATAATATCGGGTTTAATAGCTCGGCTATAACCTCGACCTATAATAATATCCTATAGGGAATTTTAAGTATATACCTTAGAGAATTTAGGATTTCTATAATAATTACCCTCTAAAGCCCGGACCCCCGATACGTCTATAAGCCTAGATAGACGCGGCTAAAGACGAAGTCTTCCTTAAAGACTATAGGGATGATGATAAGCCGGTATTTAGGGGCTAAATATATTCTTAGTCGGGGGTTATATAACGATCTATAGAGTTTTCTACTAGTTGACTCCGCCTATAGAGTTTTCTGCTGATTGTTTCCGCCCTTAACCTAGGACCTACCCTATATTGTCTTTGGTCCTATTGTTGATTTCTTTTTTCTTTCTTTTCTTTTTCTTCTCTGTACTTATTGTTCTAGTTGAATGCACTCTTTTTGTTAAAGAACTGGCTGGTAACAGTTATAATATATTTCGTATAATATTAGTATCTTCTAGTATAACCTATACTAGAATTTTTGTAAACGCCGAGTATATATACTAAAATATATAACTAACTAATTATATATTTCTTTATACTTCTACCCTATTAAACCGTTTAATCTTTTTTTCTTTTTCGCTTTTCTCCCTCTACGTCTATTCGATCGGCTTTAAATCTCGTATATATCTTTATTAAATTGTCTATTTATACTCTACTAATTTTTAGTATTTTCCGACCGTACGTTATAGTAGTATAAACGTTTCGGTTTTCTCTACCCTAGGGACGCCCCCGCTCCGGCGTTCGTTCGGGGGTTAGGCCGGTTATTAGGCGCCTAGTACGGCTATATTATAGGTTCTGCTAGTAAGAAATAAAGGAGGCGGTATAATTAATTAGGAAGGCGGTAGTAAAAGGTATTAATACTTTTACGGGGTCACCTGATTATAGAGGGTAAAGAGGGTAAATAAAAGTTAGACGGAAAATTAAAAATTAGAAAAAGAAAACTATGGTTATATAATCAAATGAATTTGGGTATCCCTGAGGTCCACGACCTAGGACGTACTCAATATTAGACGATGATATAAGCAGGCTTGGCGGGTATCCCGGAGCTTTTTTTTCGAGTACCCCCGGGCTGGAACCCGGCTTGGAATAGAGTTAGTCTAGATTGTTGATGCCTGAGGCACCAATGTGGGGCCTAAGGCCACCACAACAATTCAATTGGTAAAACTATAAATATAGGAGTTTATATACCCTGTAGAAACTATCTGAACATTGCTCACAGATAGCAAATAACAAATAGTAAACAAAAGAAGGCTCAGTCTGCAGCAAACAATCATGCATGCATGCATGGGAGTTCAACATAAGGCCTATTAGGCAACGGTACGGTTGAGAGACAGATCGTTGACAGTTGACAGAATGCAGGAAATCAGAAGTATCTCCCGATTCTAACCAACCTAGCGACGACCAGTTAGTCGTGCGTAACACGAGTCGTCACGAGTAAGTGGTACTGATAAATCCATTCAGCTCTGAATCCGCCAGGTACCTAGGTAATCTGGATTGGATATCTTTCTCTAAGTGCGGTACCGAATTTATAGATCAAAAAGGGCCCCGGCATCAGGCCCAGAGCAATGAACCCTAGCAGAGAGTTTCCCCACCCAAGCCCCAAAGCTGAATACATACTAGGGCCCGCAAGAGGCAGGAATGCACCAAACAAGCACCTCATTGCCGTCAGCCCAGCGACAGCAGATGCAGCGTATGCCCCAGACGCATCAATGAAGTATGTCTGAATTGATGCAAATATGCCAACTCCCCCGAACCCAAAGGGAAGCAAGCCAATGATAGGAACAATCCAATGCACATGCTCGTCTGCAGTCCATCCATACCAGAAGAAGCTGATGGGGATAAACGGAGCGAAGAAGAGGCAGGGCGCAAGCCGCATTTCGGGGTGATAAACCCCATTATTTGCTTTCGTTAAACGAACCACGGTGGGATCCGAGATTTTCGCCACGGTAAAGTTTCCGGCGCAAAATCCAATTCCTATTCCCAGGTAGGCGAGCCCAGTCAGCTCAAGTGACCAGCCGTAGCTGCCCGTAAATAGCGTGGTTGTGGTCGTGAAAATGAGATAAAGTAGACCAAAAACGAAGGACATGTACAGGGCGAGTAGGAATAATATCGGAGAAGACATAATCCTCAGCGGTCGCATGATGGTTTGTACCACAAGTGCTGGCGTTTTAGCAGGATAAAGACTTTGGAAATGTTCCTGACCAGGCTCCTTGCGTAGAGCCTTCATTTTCCGATGGATCAGCACAGAAGGGTTTGTTTCCTGCCCGACAACAAAATTGACGCAGGTCATCACTCCACAGGTGATAAGCAGAAACCAGTATACCCACCTCCAGCCCGCGCGCTGAGAGATAAAACCACCAAGGAGGGGGCAAGTACCGGGCCAATGAGTGGCCCGATTGTGAACATCGCGTTTGCTTTTCCACGCTGGTGGATGGGGAATAGATCGGCAATGACACCGCCGCCCACACTCAGGCATGCTGAGCCTCCGACTCCAGCTAGGAATCGGAAGACGATCAAACTAGCAATATTGGGTGCTAAGGCACACCCAATTTGCCATAACGTGAAGAAGACGTCCATGACGTTCAAGACTGGTTGACGTCCATAGATCTCGCTCAGTGGGGACAAAATTAATGGACCGACCTTTGTGATCAATTAGTCAAAAAAAAAAGAAGAAGAGGAAGTTCGCTATTTGCAACCAATATTGTTTGCTATTGGCATCAAGATGGAACTCACTGTGAATCCAAGGACGAACACGCTAACAGAAAATGAGGCAAGAATGGTCGAAGTCACGCCAAATTCGGAATCCATCAACGATGTACCAGGGGCAGGAATGGAGGAAGCCAATGGACTAGACAAACGGTTAAGATTTTAGCAATATGATGCTTATTGAACCTGAAACCATACCTCAAAAATGTGATAACGCTAACCATTCCCAATATCATCCATTTGCGCTTATCTGGAAAGTTCCTATGAAAAGTGAGAATTAGATTCAATACTCCGCGCCGCGTGCTAGAAGTCCACATACTGTGGATTGTGGGGATCTTCCTCAGAGTCCCAGCCCACGAGGCCTTTTTCATAGTCAGATATTTTTCCATTTTGTTGCACCGGAGGTTTGAGTTCCTCCGCGCTCGAGGATTCGAGATCTTTATTCATGGCCGGGAATTCGAAGGTGGGCGCCGCTCTAGAACCTGAATATAAAGAAGGAACAGGCGAAGCGACCATCTTCTTATAAGCTACACGGGTATGTTTGCAGTGATCGCTCGGACTTTCGCAGTACATTACCTCCGTCGATGTACTCTCTCGGCGCGCGACTAAAACAAATATCCGGAGATGTATCCGGAGATGTATCCGGAGATGTATCGGAGATGTAATATTACCCCGGTAATAATGCTGTACTAAGAGGGACTCGGTATGAACACGTTTTGATGCAAGGCCCGTCGGAGATACCCCTATTTTGGCCGAGAATCACAGTGTGCAGCCTGACTGTACGTACGTACATGGTAGAATGCTTACATGTACTACGCAGAATCTGTGAGGTCAACGCAGATGTTGTGATCAAATCTTAGAATGTCATTTTTCATGATAGGGCCTACCCTTTTCCTCCGGCAACCGCCTTACCGGCCTTTCAAATCACTTCGAAACTTACGCCCATAGTCATAAATTCACTGAAACGGAAGAGCAATCGCTTCTATAATGGATACTCTCAATACTCTTAATGGTTTCACGCGCCTTCCCCAGCATGAGATCGGATGAGAAATCACAATATTTTACTCGCGTCGCGTGGATTTACACTGGGTTCAAACAGTCGGCTTAAACTGGGTTACAAGTTTAGTCAAAGGTATCTCGACCTCGCATTCCAATTTTCGAGATCTAATTGCGAGCGTGCAGAGTGCGAAGACCCCGACAATCATTCGTAGATGGTTCGATTGTGTGCAGCGTACGATACTTCAATACGGCAACCCCGACGATACATGTATCTATCACTTCGACGAGACTGGTTTCGCGATGGGCTCAATCCTGACCGTCAAAGTTATCAGAGCTGAATACTACGGTCGGCGATTACTTTTACCCAGAAACCGTGAGTGGATTACCACAATCGAGTGTGCGAGAGCCTTACCAAAGTCCGGAGCCTGTGGAAATGGTTTAGGGCTTATAATGAAAATGCATTGAAATACTATAGATGGTGGTGGGTGATCCACTCGATTGTGAAATACGTTACACATCTGGGATAAGCGATACTCTGGAGATCTTTTAAGGTCTCAATGTTAGTTGGTGAACCACATTTGACTATTCGCTTGCAAATAGGGATTAATGCCCTGTTGCTGCATTTGATTGTCCCATTGAGTCTGTTCATAAGTCAAAATCCACAAGTCCACATCAAAAATATACACGGGGTATTCTGATCATAAAAGAAAAACTCACCCAATCTATTCCACCATTGAGATCGATTATATCGGCAAAGATATCTGTCGATAACGGCGAGAAGTTCTCCATATCTATAGCGGTGTCAAGTTGGAGGTCATTGTGTGCGGCGGCAAAGGAATTAGATAGACATGTGGTGCCGACCGTTTTATCTGTGTTAGGAGGTTCGGTTTCTGCTATCCCTAGTGAGCATTACTACACTAATAATCGACCAGAAACGGAAAACGGGGAAGAAAACCAGAGGGGAAAGAAGACGAATAGTGGGAATATGGGACTCACGAGATGATTTGCCTAATCCTGACTTACCATTGTTATCAAAAGGCACCATGGTGCGCTGCCCTTTCACCCTCTTGAGCACAGATTTCACAATATCAGAGACCACGCGGGCTTCATGTATTTCGCTGCTCCACTCAGTCCAAATCATATAAGACTCCTCCAAGGCCTTCAGCAATTTCCCCGGACCACCATATGAATCCGGATCGACACACGGAGGTACATTTTGCCCTGATCTATTTTGCGGGTTGACCCCAAGACAGATTATAATGGCCGCGAGAAGAAAGTCGTATGATGCAGCGCATATCACTTTCCACTTGTACCCCCACAGGAATCCGCCGGGTCGGCATTCGTGGTAAATATATGACTGGTGATGAATGGTTCTCAATGATGCGTCAATACATTTTCTATGCGATTTAGGTTGCGAATGAATGAACCGTCGATGTAATGAGCAACGGGCCTTTTGGAAAAGCAAATCAATCATCAGGCGTTGCAAGAGCGATGTTGGAGTTTCCGTAATAGCGTATCCATGGTGAGCTTTCAAGGAAGGTGGAACCGAGTCATATTGCTCATCCAGAGATTGGTCGATTTGGATGACGATGTCGTAAGAAAGTGGATGGATGGATACAGCACGATCTTGGATTTTGCCTAGGACTCTTAATATGCCCACTCTCACGATCATATGACACAAAATGCTATCATCTTCAGGTCGCGATGGAGGGAGTTGGCTCATTTCTGGGGTCAAATCACCATCGCGCAGAATACGAGGAAGCTCGGTATCTGTTTCGACCTCGTTGATCGTCCGCGGTAGTCCCACTTCGAAAGACATGAGAATATCAAACTGGAGAAGCACAAGCCATACGCGCCGTCTGTATTCACCCGTGAAGGTGGAAATTCCCTGGAAATGCAAAGAGTCCCGATGATAGCCTGCTCTCATAGCAACACGAACGACTGTCGTGAATACCAGGTAGTTTGCGAATTGGTTCTTCTGGCGTTCGATATGTTGACCAAAGAAGTGTAGAAGTAGCGCTTCAACTGTGTTGACAGTTGGCTTGGTATAGTCGGATAGAACGAGACACTGGGCGCTCCTGTGGCGGAAGAAAGAGATATCTTCGCGTGACTGGGAAGTGCCATCCTTTGGGTCACTGGAAAAAGACGAATGACATGAGGCAATAGACATCATACTGTACAGAATGCTGAGCCAGTTGAGTGAGACACTGGATGGATCGTCCCAAAAGCAATTATACTGGACTTCGGGTAAGTGCATGGTCATCTTGGGCGGGTATTATCACTTACTTCTTTTTCAAACGTGGGCGCATGAGTGATCACTGCTCTTGTCAGCCAAATGCCGCCTCAATGCCTTGTAGGCAAAGGCCATACATACATGCAAAGAAGTCCATGGTGTTAAAGTAGCGAGAAATAAGACGATCGACGACAGTCCTTGGTGGCACAGCATGCAAAAGTTCCTCAAGAGTCACAGCGCTGCGCGTTCCCATCAACAGGTCAGGCGACCTGTCATTCTGGGGTTGCTGTAGCGTTGGCCGTCTGATTTCCTGCGCACAACCGATCTTGAGTCCAGAAAACAGGCGTCAGGATGTGAACACCATAGTGAATATCAAAGTAAATGAAAACTCACATCACCCGCGATGGCAGCCCAATGCTCGGCTCCAACGTAGTTAGTTTCGCCCTGTTGGGTTCGAATATGCCCGACGGAGCCTTCGGTGGACTGAAATTCTCCATCCGGCGAGGAAGTGCAGGGCGGCTGCGCCATTTCTTGCCTTTCAGCAAGAGAGCCGATGGCACTATCCAGGTACCTGGCCCGGTCCTGCACAGGGCGGAAGCGATGTTGTCCGGGTCGTTTAGTTATCTTTGGGGTGTATGCGCAGTCGGAAGATCGGCCCTTTAGCACACACATCTCACATGGTTGATTCCGATCACATTTCACTCTATCCCGGTGGTTAGAAGAGGGTTCCTTTTGTTCCAGGCCGTGTCAGCCACATGGGGGAAAGGAGGCTGACTTTCGTTTCCGGCATGGAACACATGACAATGGATGTCTTTTGGTTCGCTCCACTGGCCCCAGCCCTTCGGTCATGACGGCTATATGCGAATATTACCAGGTTAGGGATGATGATGCCAAACAATATACGGTACCTAGGTAATAACACCTGGACAGGACGTCCCGGTAGGCGGTGTAATGGCAGTAATTTACTGCCATTGATGTATGAAATCGAATACAGCTCTCTTTTGGCTGTAGATAATTCCTGCGTATTCAAAAACGCCAGCGATGGTTATTAGGTATGATCAGTAATTTCTCGCTTGGAGAGTTTGACAAGTTTGACTTCTTTCCTTTGACTCTAGATCATGAGACGTAGCTACAGAAGTTTCTACACTTCTCAACAATTGCACTCATTTTTACCACTTGCTCTGCATAGTAAGAATCTGGTATCAAGCCACGTTGCCCTTCCCACGTTCGACAGATTATTTCATATGGTCAGACTCTCTCCGTTCTATCATGAGCGACTCAATATGTATTCCCTCCCTGGCACAGAATGTATACGTAATATCCAACCTAGCCGCAGACTGTCCCCTTAGGATATATTTATAAGACAAAGCCTCAATCCTATGTCCTACGGGAATTTGTTCCCTGGGCTGTATCATTTGCTCTTCCCAAGTCGCACCACTCTCTTCAATTTCGATTACCCGTTCAACCACCCTGGAAGTGGAGACGCTATCCCAAGCAGCCTCCTGTATTAGTTGCCATCGCAAAATACTCAAGACCTCACGACGGACAATAGGATGCCGGCACTTGACCCCAATTATGTAAAGAAAGGGGAGAAATCCGATCTCCGGCGTAAAGGTCGACCTCGACGATCCCGAATACCGCTGATGCGCCGCCGCTACCTCGCCCGCCAATATGACGCATTGCTGGAACTGGGGCAGGAAATTATCATAGTCCATTTCTCTGCCAGGTCCGCAAACACTGAGGAGAGTCCATGTGATGGTATGCTGTAAGCGCAGGAGTGATACGAGTCGGTCAGTTTCAAAGTCTGACTCAGACGGATTGCCTTGTTGCAGAAAGTTTTCAAAGAGACTCGACCACGTTTCTAACCGCCCGAGAACGATGTCCTTTAGTGAAGAAGATAACGCCGACATCGTACCCGTTGGGAACATTTGTTGATCTTTGTTGCGTAGACTCATTACCTGAGCCACGAGAACCTGGAGGTGGTCGGCAGCTTGGTCAAATGACCGAAAGGCGCCATCGAAGAGTGCAACATGGGACATGAACGTCTCCTGGATGTTGGTTGGAGTCCAGTCAACCAGAAACATGACGGCCTGTATGTCAAGACGGCGGATCTGTCTTGTGACCTGGCAGATAACCACGGGAACCCCCGACGATTGGGCATCGTCATAGGTACAGTTGTTCAATGTAGTGTTGTCGTTGTCGCGTGAGAGCGCCACACCTCCGCACAGGTGCTTCACTGCTTGTACGTTGTCGCCCGCCAGATGATCAAAGCAGGTAAAGAGATAACAGACTAAAAGTGTGACAGCTGTTACCTCAGCGCTGTCACCACTCTCCGGGTTCAGTAGAAGTTGAATGGCGCGGTTATAGTGAAACAAAGGAGCTTTATCCGGTAGCCGGTGTGTCAATTGACACACCCGATCGTTAGAATGACGATCCAGGTAGTTCCGGTGAATCAAGGCTAGAGCAATGGCAGCATGCCGCACGGATGGCACTGTTTGGGAGAAGAACATGAGAGTCTTTCGCCATGGTTCGCAAGGGCGGTATTCATTCAGATCGTTGATCGAAATATCCCTGAAAAAGCATATCACCTCTGCCTGGGCTGACCCAGTCACTGGTAGGATCATAAGGGGTCCGAGATTCTGCAAACTGAGGCCATGGTATTTCGAGTGCCATCGCTTTGACCCGTATGTACTGATCGTAGTATAGGGATTGTGACTGGCGCAGCTATCTGCTCTGCCGACGATCTCCTTGTGATAATGAGTTGATTCAACCTCAGTTCTCTCAGTCTTGAATGTAAGGGACATTTCGCTATAGCCATCGCAGGTGCGACCGGTAGAAAGGCATTTCAAGCATGAAGGCTGAGATAGATCGCATTTAACTCGTCTTATCCTGAGGGATGTCAGTTTCGAAGTCTTTGAACACAATTAATCGTAAAGTCAAGACATACTTGCAAGTCTTACAGCCTAGTCTTGACTTTGGAGCGAACTTTCGAGGCTTTTTTCTCCAGGCTTGATTGTCCGTTTCGGTGTTCTTGTTGTTCATCCCATCCGCCATGGTGATGTGTGACCTGGATACAATTTGTAATGCGCGCCGATTTAGGCAGAGGTCAATTTCCAGGCCATCATGACCCGTAAGCCACCACTTGCATCAATTGGCTTCGACAAAGAGAACAGGTGGAAGAAGGTACGGAGTACCAAAAACCGGAAGTTTGGAGAAACACCGCGCTTGATGGGCCGGTTCGTACAAGCGGGGCATTTTAAAAGCGGAGTTTTTAGTGATGGAGTATGTCGCCTAAAGCTAGACCAATTGGCATCAAGACTACTAATTACAGTCAAGTAGTAGTCTTGTGGATTTCATGATAAGTAGCGATTGGTTAGTTCGTACATGCGGGTGCGAAGGGGCACAACGGCCAAAGGTTGAATGCCTGACCTTTCAGGCTTCATACCTTAAAGTGCCTGAATTATAGGCCGCTTTCGACACCGCTCTATACCGTGTACTATAAATTGTAAATTGAATCTATTCATTCGCATCCCACAAATCATCAGTTTTTTTCGAATTATCCCGGACCGCACAAAATACTCCCTCAGATTTGGTCGGTCGCAACAGCTTCAACGCTGAGAAGTGGGTATAGTCACTTACAAGGGTAAGATCCTGTCCCCACACCCAACTTGGTGGGGATCAAAATGATATCGGTTGGCTGGTTCGTACAAGCGGAAATGAAAGCGATTGTACGAAGAAGAGGTATTGTGAGTTGATAAAAAGAATGAAGTTGCCTATTGAAACCATCAGACTTGATAATCTATTTAAAGAAATTCAACTGGTATAAATAACTACTAGATATCGCAACGGTATTGGCTCTTGCAAGCAACTGAACCGAAAGATTAATTAGAAGCCCTAGGGTTTACAATGAACCGACTTGTGAATGCGCTAATCCTTTTCATCGGCTTTGGATTGAAAGTCCAGAGTTTGCATGATCGGGCCATGGTCTATGGGTTTGACAATGTGAGTCCGGGAGTCTACGGTATCACATCATTGAAGGATTTCAAGCTTCTGACGAGCCCTCTAGATTCAACCGTCGGCCAACCTCACATGGACAGCATGTTTCGATGCCTTTGATTGCTCTAGACTGGAAGTTCCTTTGGACTATTCAAACATAAGTCTTGGCACAACGTCGATTGCCTTCATCAAGCTAGCTGGCAAAAGTGCCACCGTCGGGTCTCCAAGCATTGTACTCAACCCCGGTAAGATCTCAATTCTATCGAATGCAACGTTATCTGAATTTCGTTTGACTTGACTGACACTGCGGTAGGCGGTCCGGGTGCTTCTGGTGTCGACCTACTCCTCACGTACCAGAATCTTATCGGACAGATGTTTGGGGAGGAATACAACTTCGTCTCCTTTGACCCTCGCGGTGTAAACAACAGCGGTTTGCATCTAGACTGCTTCTCAAAGGATACGAAAGCAAGATCGACTTTCTATCGACTGCACAGGACAGGCGCCACCAATATATCATCAACATCGCTTGAGGAACAGTACTATTCAAGCTCTATCTACGGCGAGTGGTGCAACAATGCTGTGGAGAACAATTCACCCCATTCATATTATGTCACTACGCCAGCAGTTGCCCATGATTTACTCACATTTACCGAAGCCGAGGCTGCCATGGCCGGTCGGTCACCATCAAACGCCAAATTGTGGTGCTACAGCATCAGTTACGGCACTATCATCGGGAGCACTTTCGCTTCCATGTTTCCTGACCGCGTTGGGAGAATGATACTCGATGGGGTTCTGAACGCAGAGCAATATTATAATAATGATTGGACGGACAATGTTGATCAAATGGACGAGGCAGTGGAAACATTCTCGACCTTCTGTTATTCCGCAGGGCCTGAAAAGTGCTCATTTTGGGGACCCACGTCGGCTAACATCACGGCCAGAATGAATAGCATCATCCGCCAGCTTCAGAACCATCCAGTACCGCTAAGTGGCGTCGGCGATCCAGACCTGCTGACAATGGTCACCTATTCAGACCTGAAGAGTCTTTTTCTCAATACACTCTACGCCCCACTGGCAAGGTTTCCAAGGATGGCCGACATCCTCCATCAGGCCGATCGTGGGAATTTCTCCGCTCTTGCGGGCATGTATGACAAACCCTATAACCGATGCCCGTCTTGCCATTACATGCGCCGATTCGTATCGGAGAAACAGACTTATTACCATTGAACAGTTCAAAGCTTGGGCGGAGTACGCCGGGTTGAAGAGCCAGTACATCGGTGATATCTATCCCACCTACCTCGAAGGTATCCTATGCCGGTCATTCCGACCGCAGTTGCCTGATAGCTTGGTAGTTCAAGGTAGGCAACACTCATTTTGTTTATCTGTCTCTTTTCGGCATTCTACAAAAATCGTCTTCGGAAAAATGGATGACCATCTGCATTGGAATCAAAGTCTAACTAGGTTTGACGCAGAGGAAATCAGCGCACTAAACATCCCTACGTCCTTCCCGATCCTCTTTGCGAGTAATATCATCGATCCTATCACGCCGTTGCAATCGTAAGTTTCGGCCAAAGGGCGTCGCTATTGGATATGTGCCTAGCTGACAATATCTCGTCGTAGGGCGCGCAAGATGTCTTCTAGGTTTGCCGGATCTGTACTTTTAATGCAAGAAGCCGTTGGTGTAAGTTGTTATCAATTATCAATCCTATAGCCATGTCGACCAAGGTTCTAAGCTTACTCGAGTGATATTTCCTTTGAATCCAGCATACGGTTATCGACCAGGGGGGCGTCAGACTGTTACTTTGAACATATTCAGGCATATCTCCGAGGCACAGTTCCATCGTCCAACACTACATGCCCGCAACAATACATTCCTTTCATAGATTCCTCCCCCCTTTGACGGGTTTCCAAGCCGTGGGAGAAAGGTTCTGTCAATATTAGGAAAGAACTGACGGGTGTCTACCAATCAATGTTCAGTTAACCTCTTACAGTCTAACTAGTTGCGTATGAATACAGGCGCTGCATCCAATTGAAGCAAGAACTCGAAGCCAAATGCTGGGTTGGGATCTCCCCAGAGGGTATAGGTATACAAAAGCTAACCATAAAGAATATCGAATCAGCTCATTCGTGTACCTTGTAAATCCAACCCTACCCAGACCCATACATAAGAAATAAATATATAATGATAGTCGTGGAGTGCACACTCCACCTTCGAACCCCCACGGGCCACTCCGGACACACACTATCTCTCTCTCTCTCTCTCTCTTCTGTACCCTCCCATGCCTCAGTGTCCATTGATGGTGACGTTGTTCTGGTCAGTTTTTAGCTGATAGCCACCCTCTTCCATACCTAGATCTATTGCCGCGAGGCTTGTCGGTTCGTCGTCATTTTTGTCGTCCTCCTCGGGTGTCATATACTGGAAGTGCTGGAGGAGATATGTTCGATGTGTGGAATTCCAATTCTTTACCTGTCCCACCCGCGGGTTAGACATGATCTTGTCATAGTCTATCTATATGATCCCGATCCCAATTTTATCTAGTTGCTCCCACAATTTCATACGCAGAATAAGGTATTGTATGAACTGTATAAGAATATGCTCTCGGTGACTATGAGCCCTCATCATAAGTACTGTCTCAGCTGACTTGATTTTTTACAAGAAGTGACAAAGTCCGATCCTCAATGTCCGCATTTGAATCAAAATTGCACACTGTGACTTCGATAGTGCTTTGTATAAACGGAGTGTCTTCTTGTTCGGCGCCCTACTTTTCCCACCACTCTCTTAGCAGCTGCGGCGAGGTTACCCGTTCCGCTCCCTGTCACAACTCCCATCAAGGAGCGCAGCCCACTTTGCTTCTTTATCGGCAAATTCATTACCGTCCGCACCAACGTGTGCATGGATCCACTGTTAATTTTTCGATCGGATGGCCCGTATGTCGTTCTATATATGCATGAGCATGTACTGGCCAGACGATCGCTGTGGGTTTTGGACTGCCTGGATGGCAGCCTGGCTGTCGGAGAAAATGATCACCTCTCGTGCCGTTGATTGTCCGTTGCTCAGATCTGTATCCGTTCTCTTCTATGGGTTTGACCAGGGCTATCCCAATGTCGTTGAGCTCGGATAACGTGGTTGCGATGCCACCCCGTATTGAAGACTCGCCATTGATGCACCAATATGTCCTGCAAATCTGCTTTCGTCGGTGAAAATCATATCCTTGTTCCCTTCGATAACTGTCTTTTCATAAATATCGTCGTGGGTTCTTTTTAATGCTGTTTCTTGATTCTCAATGAAGCAACGGATCGGTGTCTCAAGAATAAATACACATTTTCCCTCCCACTTCTCATATTGTAATCGGAGTGTCTTCCATATGATTGCTTCGGTCTAGGCCCATCCGCCTATTATCCGTTCCTTTGGTTTTCTGGCTCCCTTGGCGGTTTGTAGGCTCACTCGTTGTGAGCCGGTGAGGTTCGTAGTTTGATTGGGGCGATGGATAGTTCTGTAGCGAGTGCTGCTCTCGCTGTCCCTCGGAACGCGCCGCTGATCAGGATTGCCGCACGTTTTTGTATATTCATAAGCTCGTTTGTTGGTTTGTCGAGGTCCCCCCTTGGTATCGCTCTAGCCCCTTGGCAGCACCACACAGACAGTCCCATAGCACCCGTGGAATGATGACTGCCTGGTATACCTTCCACATTGCAGTCAATGATGACCGCTAAGTAGAACTGAGATTCCGTAGAGTGCCTGGAGACTGCCGGTTGCCTTTGTGAGCATCTTCTTCCAATGTGTTATGAAATTGTGATATTTTTCGAGCCATATACCAAGGCATTCACCTGTTTCTGTAAGTGTGAGGATGGTTGGTGTATCCCTTGTGACAGACGCCAAGAGCAATACATGTATACATAAACAAATAGGCACACTCGTGAAATGAACATACGATTTCCAGAGACGGCTTGAAATGTGTGCTATAGGAGGCAATGCAGTAATCCCGACGCGAACGGGGGCGGATTTGCAGGACATATTCGCGCATCAATGGCCAGCCTCCAACAGGGGGCAATATCCCAAAGACGTACTGGTTCCCAGTCCACAGTATACGCTACCGGGGCACAACGACATTGAAACGGCATTTTCAAAAGCCAGAAATGACAACGAGCACGACCAACGGCTCGAGAAGTGATCTTTTTTCCGACAGACTAGCTGCGATCCATCCAGGCAGTTCAAAACCCACAGCGACCGTCTGGGCCAACACGTGTTAGTCCTGATATACAAGCACATCCGAGCCATAGGTCGCGGGACAGATCTAACAAAATCCAACAAATGTCACCATCAGGTGGATCCCTATACACGTTGGTATGGGCGGTAATGAATATGTCGATGAAGCAAAAAGTTGCGACCGGGACCGGAACGGGTGAACCGATAATCCTCCCTGAACAGGAAAAGCAGTGGGAGTGGGAGCGGGAGATAATCTCCTCGCCTACAAAGCACATGGCCGAACAAGAAGACACTTCGGTTGTACGAAGGACCGTCAAAGTCATAATATACGATCTTGATTCGTACGCGTACAGTAAGGTTCCACACTTCTTGTTCAAACTTAAGGTAGCAGAGAAAAACCGGTGCAATTGTAACCAGGGCTCAGACACCGATGCATATTCTTATGGAGTGCGCACAATACGTTCTTCCGCGTACGAAACTGTAGGAGCCGGCGTGAGACGTAGAAATTAACAAGATGGATCACGACAAGATCGTGTCGAACCCGCAGGCCACCCGGTACGTGGTCAACTTCATGCCATGCACTGAGTAGGTCTCAGTTACAGAAAGTGACACCCAAGGACGACGACGACGACGAAACGACAGGGCTCGCGGCAATGGGCCTAGGTGTGGAAGACGATAGATATTAGCCAATGAAGATAAATGGGGCCGTGAAACAAGAAACTCGGCCAGAGTCGACCAACAGGCCAGTCAACAGCTGGTCAGGACAACTTTATAATCAACTGGAAGCGAGGCAGGGAAGATTGCAGAGAGAGAGTGTGTGTGTGAAGTGGGAATTTGAAATTAGAAGGTGGAGGGTGCACTCCACAACAATCATTATATATTAATTTCTTATGTATAGATATGGGTGGGTATGGATTTATGGGTTTGGCGCAAGGCAAATGGGCTGATTCCGCACTCTCTACAATATACATCTGTATACTCTATGGAATCCACTATGTGGTTCTAGCTCGGCGTTGGGCGAGTTCTTCCTTCAGTTGGATGAAGCGCCCCTGGATGGCCATACGCAACTAATTAATTGAAGTTTGATTGATTGATTGATTCGATACATTTATTTGTATGGTAAGATATCTATGTATCTAAATTACCTTAAATGACAGTGTCTTCTCAATAGAAGCAACGCTGGTCCCAACAAAGCAGCTGTAGGTGCCCGGGTCCAGTATCCAGTTGCCTACTTCTTCATCATACCATCTTAGTTCCTCACTGCCAACAGTGATTCGCACATCACGCGTTTCTCCTGCTGGCACCCAAGTCTTAATGAATCCCGCAAGAGTCTTCGGGTAACTCTCCAGTCCCTTGGCTCGAATTTGGCTCGATGGCGAGATATAGACTTGTACCACCTCATGTCCATCACGCTCCCCATCATTTGATAAGCAGGCATTGATAACAATCATGGAGTCCATAGAGGTGGTCATTTGCCCGTCAAGACGAATTTCAGATAGACTGAAAGATGTGTATGAGAGTCCAAACCCGAACGGCCATAAAGGAGCAACTTCCCGCTCCTCAAACGATCTGTAACCGATAAGAACTTTCTCACCAATGACGGAGCGGTCCTGCGCCGCCTCTGCGGGATGCCATCTGCTTGATCCGTGGTCCGATAACTGGCGGGGAAATGTGATAGGAGTCTTTCCGGAGAAGTTGCATTTGCCAAGTAGTACATCCACTAAAGCATGACCGTTCTCTTGTCCCTGGTACCATCCCAGTACAATAGCGCGTGCTTGCTCAACCCACGGCATGCTAACCGGGCTAGCGGACTGCACAACAATAGCGGTGTTTGGGTTGGCAGCACAGATGGCACTCACGAGATCATTTGTGCGGCCAGGCAGGTTCAAGCTCACTCGATCACCTCCCTCCCCCTCGGAGTCTTTGTTATGGCCGACCACTACGACGGCCATGTCAGACCTACGTGCGGCTTCTACAGCCCGGTCGAACATCCCCTGCTCGTTTTCATGGAGAGCAAGGCCGAGACGGAGGCCTGACACGTTAGGGAAGAGAGTATTGTCGAGATTCTGGTTGGGTGGCAAAGTGACAAGATTTTCCACAGAGAGGTCGTAGGAACAACCGGCTTTTAATTCGACGACCGCTGTTTTGTCCGGGCTTGAGCATCCGAGGAAGCCGTTGCTGGGAGCTACTTCCGTCCACTCCGTATTGTCGATCAGAAGCCCCTTTTCGAAGAAGACTTTGGCTTTGCCTGTGTTGGCCACGCTCAATGTATAATTTCCGGAAATCTGAGGTTTGATAACCCCCGTGGCGCGATAGGAATATTGTTTGCCTTTCAAACTTGGAGGTACGTCGCCGTCACTCATCATATATACAAGCGAGTTTGGCCATAGACTGCTTGATACCACAGATCCGTCGAACGAGTGGCCGGCATAGAAGTCAACTTGGAGGCCTTGCTGAGAGAGGTCTGGAACGGAAAGGGAGTCTCCTAATAGGGGCGGGCGAATTGTGAAAGGCAACCCTTGCTCGTATGTGATATGTATATCAGGATTGCTGGAAGTGAGGGCTGTCCTAAGGCAATTCTCCGGCGTCGTGAGGTAGAACGGAGTGACAGCGGCACTTCCCGACCCACCAGCCGTGGGCTTGCACGCATTCGGACCGAGAATGGCGATGCTTTTTAAAGATGACGGCTGGAAAGGAAGAACATCTTGGTTCTTAAGAAGAACAAGGCCCGCTTGGGCGGCCTGGCGGGCGATTTGGTGAAATGTGGTGTCGTCCTTAGGTTTCTCCAGATTGATGTGATCCTGGACTAGACCCTCGTCTAGTTCAGCGAGCGAAGGTAGTAGACCTGCCTTTTCTAGAAGTTGCAACACCCGCTTTGCGCTAGGGTTAACGTGGGCGGCTTCATTGATTTTGCCCTCGTGGATCGCAGCCAAAAGTCGCTCCCCGCGCCGTATTGGGGGGCCCGGCATCTCGAGATCCGTCGTGGCAATGAGACTTTCCACAGTGCTATTGCATCCACCCCAATCGCTCATCACCAAGCGATCGAATTGGAGCTCCTCACGTAGAAGTTGTGGAAGGATAGCATGGCTTTCGTCGGCATGAACTCCATTGACCAATGGATAGCTGACCATTGCGGTCCAAGGATCCGCCTTTAACGCCATCGAAAAGGGCTTCATATACACTTCCCGTAGGGTGCGTTCATCAATCTTCTGGTCGACGTTAAACCGTCGAGTTTCAGTGTCGTTTAGAATAAAGTGTTTCATGCACGCACCGACTCCGCTAGTCTGGATGCCGCGAATCATAGCGGTAGACATTGTGCCGACGAGGAAGGGATCTTCTCCATAGCCCTCGAAGTTGCGACCACCGAGAGGCGAGCGCGACAAATTCATGGTGGGGGCAAGGAGAGTTCTGCAGCCTTTGCTTCGAGTTTCATCACCTAGCACTGTGCCAACCTTCTCCACGAGCGTGGGGTCCCAGGTCGCTGCTAGGGAGATTCCACAGGGGATGAAGGTTGTCGGCGAGCCATAATTCCATTTGGACCCGCGGGGTCCGGCTGGGCCATCAGTCATTTTCAAGGAATGAATTCCCAGGCGATCAATGGCCGTGGTTTCCCACATATTCCGACCAGCTAGAAGGGAGACCTTCTCCTCCAAGGTCAGAGCCTGGAGGAGACGGTGTACAACGGGACTGTCAGGATCGCGGACCATATTTCGTCGGGGGGCGGGGATATGCGCTGGTGCGAGTACTGCTTTAATTTCTACAAACGGTAGTCGGAGGTGACTATATATGAAAGTCGACTGACTACCTTCGGGGGTTATCCGAAGATAATGACGATGTTGGTGCTTGGATAACACCAAGTGGCGAACATCGACTCCTAGCCTTTAATCAAAGTTCATCCAATTAAATTTTCTCTAGATTTCGACACTGCCCAGGTGGGCTCTTGGACTAATGGCCATTCAATTGACAAATCCAACGCCGGGGAACCTTCCAAGGTTAGAAAGAAACACGGAGACGAACGGTGGAGATTTCCTCTTGGTTGGTGACAGAAATGTGCCTGTACCGCTGCTAGTACGATACGGGGTAAGTCATTTTCATTGAAAAATTACAGAGATTATTAGGTAAGCGGACTGGGAACCTTGGAAGCCAGGTGCCTGATTTTAATGACTTGATGCCTGAATGCCTAAATGCCTGAATCAAGGCTTGCGCTTTTAGACCACCGTGTAGTTATGTTGCACAGTGTGCAAGTGTACTGTAACCAACTGGGCATAGAATAACTAGGCGCCGTTAACCCATAAAAATTGATATTCTGATATCCATACGAATGGAGATATCTCCATGTTTCTGGCCGGTTTGCAAATCTCAAAAATGAAGCTTTTCATCTCCATTTAAATCAAGTCCTACCATATCCATTTGTATGGGATGAAAAGCTTTATTGTCATTCCTACCTTAGCCTAGCGGAACCTGTGTACATTGCTTATTATGGGATCTGTAATAATACTTCGCGTATTTGTATTTTTCTGCCCAAAATATCGCATGGAGCCATTAAAATCATGCATTCGGCATTGAGCGCGATACACCGTCGCCTACCAGACCCTGTGAATTTCAAAATGGTTTTTGGGAGTCAAGTCGTGAATATGGCTGACCTAGCATTCGCTATGACATTATTTATACCTACGTAGCTACGGAAAGGTTTGATGGGATTATGTTGATATGTTTGGAAATTTTAGTAGATGGTCACTCTTACAGCCAGGGCCTGCTGCAACACGATTCAATTTCCACTCTCCCCGCAAATCTGTTTTCTCTACATGAACCGTGGGTATGGAGAGTGCATACGTACAGTATTGCTCGGGGAAGTTCCCCGAGACAAGACAAAATTTGACCCTCTCAGCGGGGAAATAGTGCCGGGACTTCCCCGGTCATACAAATCCGCCTCCATACAAAATTACTAAGTTTGGAAACTAGGTCTTGGCGCAGTGGATGGTGATAGATCAAAAACTGAGCAATGTACCCTTTTCAAAACTGTAGTCGCCCAGGATTAGTGACCTTCTTTGATCTCCGAAGAAAAAAGACCTTCCATCATGGCTGCCCGAGTAAAGTGGACTGATGTGCCAAGTAAGTATGATCATAACAATCCCGTTGTTCCAAGGTTATTTACATTATACACAGATAATGCCCATCCCATCTGGTACAAGGATGCAGGTCTGCGTTGGAACGTGGCTCTCGGGCTAGGTCTTTGCCTTGTGATAGCGACTAACGTGAGTTCCCTTCTTTTTCTTCCCCTTTAATTTCCAACCTGCATATGCCTGTTTTTTAATCACTCGTTACTGACTTCCGCTGCAGGGATGTGAGTGATAAGTATTAGTACCGACTGGGATATTTATATCTTTTCTAACATGATATTCGAAAGATCAATCTAGCCTACTGAATGGATTTCAAGCAATGCCTTCGTGGCAGAAGTGAGTTTCAACTCTATAGTCAGTCCGAGTATCTAGTCTAATTGTTTTCTAGGTATTTCGAAAGCCCTACGGGTGCTTTATTGGGCATCTATGCCGCCTCCTTCTTTCTACCATCGATATTTACAGCTTTCATTGGAGATTATATCTCCACCAGGCTAGGTCGCCGATGGTGCATCATCATAGCAAACATTATTATCTTAATCGGTTCATTGGTCAATACTTTCGCCAACTCTGTGGGTATGTGGTGCGGTGGTAAGTGACCTCTTAGTTCAATTGATGGTCCATTAAACTGACCATTTTCGGAGGCCGTGTCATCATGGGAGCTGGAGTTGGGATGGTCAAGGTAGCGGCCCCGGTGTTAATTCAGGAAATGGCCCATCCCCGACTTCGACCTATCCTTGGCTCCTGTTACCAAACCTTTGCCTATATCGGCACATTCTTTGCTGCTCTGATGACATGTGAGCGTTACCAATTCACCGGGAATTCCCATACCTAACTAAATCTTACAGTTGTTGGTCTGTACGTGCCTGGCGACTGGGGATGGCGATTTCCTTCGCTGCTTCAGATTATCGGGCCTGCTATCGTTATCATAGTTGCAGTGATTTGCCCAGAGTCCCCTCGCGTGAGCCCACCCCTCGACAGCTCATTAGAAGTTAATCTAACTGTGTCATACAGTGGCTCATCAAGAATGGCCAAAAGGAGCAGGCTCACAATATCCTTGCCAAATTCCATGCCAACGGTGATAAGGATGATGCCCTTGTTCAACTAGAGATGGGCGAGATAAGTGATGCAATTGAGCGTGAGACCATCCAGAGTAAAGCAAGCTTCCTCGATTTTGTACGGACACCAGGAAACAGGAGACGTCTGGTGGCACTTGTGGCCCTGGCTTGCTCCTTAAATTGGATGGGGAATGGAATCATTTCCTAGTAAGTCCAATGCTCACAAGTCTAAGCGACAAGGTGATTTACGATCTTTTAGTTTCCTTTCACCTATCCTCAGGTCTGTTGGTGTCACTGCGCCTGTCCAGATCACACTCATCAACGCAGGACTGGGTTAGTCCTCATTTTCATCCCTTTTTAAACTGATTCAAAAACGCGTTCTAATTTTCAACAAGCACTTTGGAACTTGATCCTTGCAAGTATTGCCGCTGTGTATTGCGACAAAGCTGGTCGACGACCTTTGTTCCTCGGATCTGTCGCAGGAATGTTCTGCTCTTATATCGTCGTCATGGGCTTATCTGCCGGCTTTGCACATACCAATCAAAGTTCAATGGGTATCGCCGTTATACCCTTTTTGTTCATGTATGTGCTGTCCTACTTACCACGCCTCGAGTGATTCAAGCTGACCATTCGAAATTAGTTATTTTGGATTCTATGATATGGCGTTCACTCCACTTCCAATTGCGTACACTGTCGAGATCTTACCTTTCAGCATTCGATCCAAGGGAATGGCGCTATTCACGAGTACTGCCACATTAGGAAACGCATTCAACCAATTTGTCAATCCGATCGCACTCAATGCAATCGCATGGCGCTAGTGAGTTGATCCTTCTCTCTCAGTTTCGTTGTATTCAATGTGCACCCTCTTACGAATACGGCTAGCTACGCGGTATACATTGGAATTTTGGCATTTTACTTCTGCCTTATTTTCTTCCTATTTCCCGAAACGAAGAGGCTGTCTGCCGAGGACGCCTCAAGGGTGTTCGATTACGATAGGAAAGGGTTGAAGCTTGGAAAATCCGATGATGATGGTGAACAAAGAGATACGAATTCCGATACCTTAGAAGGAACAGACTTCGTCGAAAATAACCACAAGGAATAAATGACGGGTGGGATGTGGTTCGCAGGCTCTTTATGCGGTCACTTTTCAAGCTGTTCGATCCGTTTGAGTCTCGTCGTAGAGATTAACATAATTTTTGTCGTTAATCTAGTACTGTCGAATATTTCAACATTGAAAGGTGATCCTACTTACATATGTACATAGTTAGCCACCCCTAGCCATTGTTAAGTAGTGTAACTAAGTCGGTCTTGAAGTACCCGACAACGACCCGAGGACAACCACGTAACGATAATCAATTTGGAATAATTCAGGTCTCCGTAATGTTTTTAGATAGACATTAAATTCGGCAGAGGTCAAATAATTAAGTTGATGCAAAAGGGTGTGGCGTGCATAGGGCAACATTAGCCGACTACCCATTTATTGCGGGGCCCCAGGTTACGGTTACTACACCGTATTATGTTTTGCCAGCAGAACATTTCAAAAGTAGTACATATGTATTTTATTAGTTATAGAAAATTAAAGTACTGTAGACATTGATACTGTATATACTGTATAAATTGAGACTATAGAAGTCGAGACTGCAGAAATAAAGATGTTACGGAAATTGAGATGTTACATAGGGTGATAATATAGAACTTGATAGAAATTGTTGCCCAAGAAAGATGTCAAATTGCAAGGTTGCATACATGGGATGATACCATATACCATGGAAGATTATGTAATCATGCTTAATAATAACCGCACAGAAACAGCAGTTTCTATTATATAGAAAATGCAGAGTTCTCCATATCAGCCCTAAGGTCTATACATTTCAATACGTCAGATTTCTGTCAGTTATAAGCCCGGCTTTGTTCTATTAATCAATTCAAAGATCAACCCTGCTTCCAATCGATACTAAGGTAATTTACCTAGCGACGAAGTAACCCCTAAATCGAAGAAAAATCGGAAATCTGTCTAAATCATGGCCGATTATCTCTCCGCGGGTCTATCCTCCCGCGTTATCCTTAAGGATACCGAAACTTAGGATATATAGATCGCTAATATCGAATCGATTATAGTATAATTTGACGTTTAGGAGCTATATAATCCTAGTAAGGAAAAAGAACCGGAGATACGGAAAGCTCCGGTAGAGATTATATCGATTAAAGAAGCGGAGAAGAAGTATAGCGATAAATAGGTCGATACTTATAAAGTAATTTAATCGAACTAGTTAATAAAAAACACGCTCTATACCTAGGAAAAGAAGGGGTTAAGTATAATTATAATAGTAATCCGGAATAGCGTTTACGTGAATTTCTAGCTATTTATTATAGACTATAAGACTCTATATAGTCTACTCCGAAATCTTTAAGAAAGGTTCGCTTTAGAGTATAATCCGACCTATTCTACTAGGCTCTATTAATAATAAAGAAGCCTAGATAGAGGGTTAGATAAAAATATAAATATCGATAAATAGCTATTAAACTAGGAGATAGTTTAATTAAGCTATAAAAGAGTAGGAATAATAAAGATAAATAACGCTTCGACTTAGTTCCTTAATACTATCTTAGTAATATTATTTAGATTCTATAAGATATAGACTCTAAGACTATAAGATAAAGAAGATATCGGATTTACTAAGTTTCTTAACCGGTATCGAGTATACTAGAAGATTATCTATAGTAAGCTAGTTACTAATTAAAGGGGTATCTCTAAAGCTACTTTTTTAATATAGTAAGGCTATAAAGAAGCTAAGCTAAAAACCTCGGATAAAAAGTTAGCTAATATAAAGTTAGCTAGAGAAGAACTATTATTTAAATTAAAGCTATATCTATATAGATAGAACTATAGACGGTACCTACCTTAGAAGTATTAGGACGTCTTTAATAAGAATAAGCCTTCTAGGTATACTAGAAATAAGGAAGCTAAGTAGAAATAGGAGAAAGCTATAAAGGCTAACCCTACTTAGAAGGCCTAGGTTAATAAGAGACGTTAAGAAAACCTATAGGGAAAGGCAGCGTAGTAAGTAAATACTACCCTTAATAATAAAGAGGATAACTTATTATATAGGTTCTTCTCTATATAAGCCGGCGTATTAAAGATAGGTAAACCTTAAGTAGCTAAGTTATAGGCCGGCGTACTAAAGATAGGTAAGCTATAGGAAAGTAAGCCTTAGGTAAGTAAGCCGGTAGCTAGTAAGTAAATTCTAACCTCTACTACTATTATATCTACCTAAATCTACGAAGCCGAACTAATTAGATAGAGATAGGTAGTTGATACCGGAGCGTAGATATATATCTATAACAATCGGGAGTTATTTAAAACTTTTAAAGATATATAGAGTAGTATTAGGGTAGGGGATATAGAAATAAGTATCGACGGGGTAGGTACTATAGTAATCTATAGTATTAGCGTAGTCGATAGTAATAAAGTAGTTAAAATAAAGCTATATAATACTAAGTACTTGCTTAATTTCTATAATAATCTAATATCTAATAGGTTAATAATAAAGGCGGGGATAGTAATAAACTTTAGAAAGAACTATATTAAGATAACTACTAAAAAACCGGTATATAAAGTATATTAGGACTAGAAGTTAATATAATTAATATAACTAAAGGACTTCTAAAGCCCTAAGATATTAAAGGATATAGCTCTTACTACTATAAAGAAGTTAGTAAGTAAGCTAAAGTTAGAAGCTTTAATCTAAACTTAGTATAGGCGCCTAGGCTATATTAGTTAGTAACGCCTTACTAAGCTAGTAGAGATAATTAAGAGGATTACTATTAAAAGTAACCCTAGTAAAAAGAAGTAGGTATATAAAGCTTATTAACTAGTAGATACCCCGAAGTAAATCTCTTACCGGAAAATAGGCTAGGTATATAGTATATTTAGACGTATCTACTTCGATCTAGTATAGAATTAAACTACTTATAATAGATATATCTAGATAATGTATTTTTACCTCGATAGTATTAAGTACTACTTTATCTTTATATATACTAAAAAAAGTAAATACTAAATAGTTATTAGGAAGTTCCTAGTATTAGTTAAGAACTAGCTAAAGATCGAGATTAAAGTATTCTACTATAATAATAAGCGGAGTATAGGTCTTAAGATTAAAATAATAATAAAAGCCGAGGGATATATAATTAAGTATTCGCTATTTAGCTTACCGGAGATAAATAGTCCTACCGAGAGATCTAAGGGGATAATAGTAAGAACTACTAGAGTTCTAATTAATAATATAGATCTCCCTAAGACTCTTTAGCCTAAAGTAATATATATAGCGGTATATATCCTAAATAGGACTCCTATATAGATTAAGGATAATACCGGTAAGAATTAATAGATTATACCTTAGAAAGAATTAATAAAGTATACCGTATTAGATAGTATCTATTACTAAGAGATTAACCTTTTAAATATAAGGTTATATAGCTATCTAATATACTCGAGAATTATTAAAAGAGTATAATTAGATAAGATAGTACCTAGAGTAGAGATAGGATATCTTATTAGGTATATCTCGAAGAACTTATATAAGATATAGTTCCTATAGAAAGGCTATAATAAAAGGGTCGATATAGTTAGAGATACTATTTTTAATAAGATAAAGAGGTATTCGAAATCGACGTCGATACCTAAGGAAGAAGATACTATTAGTACTATAATAGATAGACTAGATATATAGCCGTAGGTACTTACTAATAATAAAGTATAGGCTAAGATTAGTACCTAGATAGAGATACCTAGATCGATAGTTAGGATAGTACTATATAATAAAACTAAGTATACTAAGTAAGCTAGAGATAATATAGTCGATATAGTTAATATAGCTATTAATATAGCTAATAATCTAAATAATAGAGATAATAAAGAGGTTAGGTAGAGAACCCTACTATAGGTTATAAAGGAAGTAGCTAGATTACCTACCCTATAGTTAATAATTAGACTAAGGGAGTAAATAATAGGAGAGTAAATAAATCTATAGAGAGGCCTACTAGGGAGCTTCTTAGATATACTATCCTCCCTACTACTATTAAGGCTATTAAGATTATCGATATTACTATTAAACCCTCTGATTTTATTAAATCTATTAATTCTATCGAATCCGGTACCCCAAGAAGCTATATTATTATTACTAGATCCGATTTCCGTGATCCTATCGATCGAAATTAGGGGGGTAGATAGAGATATAGAAGAGAGAGATAATAAAGTAAGTAATAACAAAGTAGAGATAGAGAGATAGCTATAAAGGGAAATAGTATACTTACCGGTACTATTATTATTATCCTACCGAGAAACGTCTCATCGAGTATCCTCCTAAGTAGCATTATTATTATCCTAAAAAATATTAAGAGATATATTAGGTAATATCGATATATTAAATATTATTACCGGTAGTAGATCTAGGAGACTAAGGACGGATCTAGATTATACTATATATCTATCTCTCGATAACAATTAAAATAATCTACTAAGCTTATTTTATACCTTCTCTATAAGTATAAGTAAAAGATTCGATAAGAAGTTTTACCGAGATAAACTTCCCCCGCTACTAGAGAATTAGGTATAGATTAAGAAGTACCGGTTCGGAGAAGGATTTTATGACGGTGCCAATTACAACTGACCAGTTGGTTAGAAGAAGATACGTGTTAACTCGGAATCTTATTAATGAAGAGGAAAAGGATAGGCCTAGTAACTAGCTAGCTATATATATATCTTTTCCTCCGTTTATAGACGGAAGTCTATATCGCAATTAAGCCTAATTAAGTAATCCCTCGATTGACCTATTTATTATCTTCCGTCCTACGTTTGCCCTTTACTCTATTAATAGTTAAACGGCGGGCGCGGTAATCCCGACGGGTATAATCTAAACGGCCCTTCCCCTATCTCCTACTCCTCCTCCGTTTATAAGCCCCGCGGTAGTTTATAGTTATCTTCCTCCTAATACTTAATTAGTCGGTTCGGGGAGAACTATAAGGACTCTATTAATAGCGGTAGGCTATCTAGTAAACTTAGTAGTAAGTTAATTATAACCGAACGATCTTTATAGAACT